AAGTATCAGGATGCTGCTGAATGTCTGTGACTGATGAGCAAAGTGTGGCTGGTGTGATGAGGAACACAGGGCCAAGGGAAATGCCCTGGCCAGTGGGTGAGGCAGGAGGCACTGGGGCTCCCTGAGCTTCAGTGCCTTCACAGCTTTGCTTTAGAATCCAGAAGGTTCAGTTTTGCTGTGGCATGAAATCATGTTGCCATAGCTAAAGGTCCATATCATTGTTTCCTTGATGAGAGACACCCTGTTTTTCCATCTTTTTCTTAATTTATAAGTTTAAATGATTTGCAAAAGGATCTAACAGGAAAAGCTGAAGCATAGCTCATACTCAGGAAAGGAGATGCATCCCAGGGCACTGCAGGTGTTGACAGGCGTTTTTTATTACTGACTCTTCTTAATAACTCCCATGGACTGGGTCATATTTTTGGTTTCTTAGCCAAAGAGCAGTAACTTATTTAGGCTACACACTCCAGTTTTTCCTACAGTGGCTGATATTTACTCCTTCCTTCTCATATATACAGATGAAGTCTTCTGAAGACATTTAACTTGCAAGTTCACAAAACCAATTATTTTCTTTTTTATTTCCTCTGCCCTTGGCAGATGCAAATTTACCTCACTCTTACCTACTGACAGCTTTGCCATGAATCCATTTTCCTTGTTTATGGCTCTATTCCATACCCATGTGACTTCTTCATGAAGAAAAATACAATGTGAAAATAATTCTCAAAGTGGTATGTTTCTATTGGCTTTGGTTATGTATATTTCTAAATGGGAAGAGTATAGTTTTATGACTGCAGTCGAAAACGAGGAGGATGTAACAGGCTGCTGTAACCTTGAGCAGCTGACTGAGTTCCTGTGCTGACAAACCCTGATGGGAAGCTAAGCAGGACCTGTTTGCAGAACAGACAAATGAAGCTGAGCTGATGGGTTTATGTAAGCTTTGGCACCAAATCAAGAGGCTTTCTGTAGATACAGACCCTGTTGCTAAAGGAAAGTAAAAAGAATCCCTAAGCAGACTTTTTTTTAAATGGCTACAGATAATTAGATGTAAATATGCTGAAATTTGTAAACACTGTTTAAATAAATCCTATGTTTCTGGTGGGTTTAATATTTACAAGTTCACTGTCAGTTAGTAGCACACACCTTCCTTGATCTAATTGCAGCTGAGCTGGCAGAAACTGAAGTTCATTGAAGTGACATCTGCATAATCTGTGTGTCAGCTGGTACAGTATGTTCTGTTGGGTATTTATTTGGTGCACTACTCACATTTCAAAACTCAGTCAACAATAAACACTCACACTGCTCCTGCAGTCAGCAAGTCCAGCCATGGAAGCCTCATGTTGGTGTGCCCTTAGGTCAGGAACATGAGGCTGTGCAAGTAGATTTCTGACTTGTCATGTGGAACAATTAAAAATAACTCCTTATAATGCCAGTCTGTTTTGGGGTTAAGGATGGAAATAATACCAAATAAAATATACTTGGAAGGGAAAAGTGGGTTCTCTACTTTGCCTTTGAAGCTCTTCAGATCTAGGTAACATGATAGTGTCATGTTTTTGTATAAAATTGTACCTGTTATTTTTTTTTAAAGCTGAATTGAACATATTTGATTTGCAGAACTGCAGTGTCAAATTTTGCATTTTGAATAAGTTAACATTTTTGCTATAAATTTTTGTTTTTATTTTTTCTTCTGAAACATAATCAATTGACTATATAAATCAGTGCTTTAGCTTGAAGGTGGGTGGTGTCTTGTGCCAAATAGCATTCAGATGCTTCAAAGCAGGATTAAACTTGGCTCAGCTTCTGGAAGCCTTTCAGGCTAAAATAGACTTTGTTTACTCACAGTATTAGAAAATACCTAATAATAGCTAAAATATTTGGGCTTTATAAGAGAAGCTGAACTTTAACATTTCTGGACCTTCTACTTGTAGTTCACATGTGCTTAATTAAAACCTGCAGAAAGGCTTAATGAACTTAAGTTTACTTAAGTGTACTCTGAACTCAGGTTTGCTGCTGGTATGTAATGTAAAGTCTTGTGTACCCATCTGAGGTGGCTGATTTTTTTTTAAGAATGAGAGATTTTGAGTTGAGTTCTGATATTGGAGCAGTTAAGTGGTGCTTAAAACAGAAGATGTAGGTAGTTTGAGAAAGGGCAGAAATAATTCTGTGTTGTAAGTGCTTTTTAACTTATTAGATCATAGTCATCACTGTAATATGTAGTCACCTCCTACAGCATAAGGAACAAAAAAAGCACAAACCAAGGGTGATCTTTGTGTCTCCAGTAAATTCTTGACCTCTGTCAGGCTTGACCCTTGGTCTGTTTTTACCCCTAATTTCACTAAGGACAGGGAGGGCAAATTGCAGAGACCTGGTCATCTCTGATTTGCTGCACTTGTTTCATATGCCACAGCTCAAGAGGGATATAGAAACTGTCTTCTGATTTTAAAGTAAATAGGAAAATTAATATGTAAAAATGTAAACAGAATGAGGGTTTTTTTCACTGTTTCTGAACTCATTTCTGTATAAATAAAATAGAGATGAAGACAGTGCTGTTCATACAGTGAAAGCATATACATTTGTTTTGGGTTTTTTCAGTGGACACTTTGAAAAGGAGTCTCTGAAGGATGTGAGGTAGGCTTCGTGTTCTTGTAGAAAGCCTTTTAGGCATGCAGATAAGAAAATTAGTATGCAGCTAACTGTTTTTGAGTAATATAAATTCTGTTGTGAATGCAGTGTCATAGTAATCATGATAGATGTATAAGGTCACTTGAGATCTTTACAGAAACAGTTCTAGGGGCTTTAAAATAAGATTTTTTAAAATAAATAAATGTGAACTTCTAACCTTTTGTTAGGAAAAAATGATTGTTTTCAATATATATATGTATATAAAAATGCATGTATTGTGACAACTTTCATATTACTACATGTAATTACTGGTTTTGGTTGGTTTTGCCCTTCAAAGTCAAAACAAGCATATGGGTCAGATTTGTAGGTCAGTCAATGTAATTTATTCAGAAGCTATTTTTTAATTTGCTAAGCTAAAACAGGAAGCCACAGTATAATTTCTGGTGTCATTACGTTAGTCATGAACTGGCAT